TGGGCGCAGGTTTTGACGCTTTACCGAACTGTTTTCCATCAGTCGTTGTAGATTTGGGCGTTCAGTGATGGGCAAGGGGCTGGCACAGCGCCAAAAGCTAGCCTCGCTGAGTGCCCGACTGTCTTCGGTGATAACGACTGTACTATTAGTGGGAGACGGCGTCATTATCGACCTTATTGGATCCCGCGAGCTCACTGGCTCCGCCTTCCATCACGGATGAGGCATGACTTGATCGAGAGATCCCAGGGGATCCCATTTGCAGGGGATCCCATCGAAGTCAAGAAGGAGATCAGAAGAAGTTCTTGAACGGAAGACAAACCCCGCAATTGCATATCGTGGCAAATGGCGTTCAATTATACTCATCCCTAAGATGTGGTAGGCGTGACAACGTACTCCATTCGAACGTTGAGGCAGCGGATATTTTCATATGAGGACAATTGGAGTCATGGCTTCGTTCAACACAAGATAAAGTGACATAATCTGATACTGAAATATCTCAGGGAGAAACCATCCTGAGCCGCGTACAACCGGAGTGTACAAAGGGATTTCGGGCAAGAGGCCCTTCAAGAGCATGCAAACGAGCGAGACGACAGATGGGGACAGATAGCAATTAAGGTGGGGTCATTTGATGAACATTCAGCTGAAACTTTCAGAAAAGAGCAATGGATCTGCCAATGCAGTTCAGGCTATCTTTTCGAGGAAGCGGTTTAACCCATAGGGTGACCTTTGGGTGTGCTTTTGAAGGCGCATCCAACGCTGATGTAGGGGAGGTTGAAGGCGCATCCAACGCTGATGTAGGGGAGGAGACTCACAGCTCATCGTTTCCCCTCAGATAAATAGGTCGATAAGCAGGAAGGGCGTCGAAAGGCACCAATGGTGGCTGTCTCCGCCCACTTGAGCTCACTGTGCAAAAGTCTATTCAGTTGGGAGCGTACCTTTGTAGATTGAAACTTATAAACCTATGACAGACGAATGTAGTATGCATTAGAAATGGAACGAAATAACACGGGAAAATTTTTGCCTTTTTATTAAGCCTTATTTACGTATAATACATAAGAATACATTATTTTTTTATGCTTTCAAATGAATGAGCTCTTTTTGATGAAGGTTTCGGATAGACTTCGCGATGACGTTAGCACTTGACATCAGGTAGCCACCACTGGTCACCATCGCGATCGGAATTGCGTTCTCCTTGCACAGACGGAAAACCAACTCGTCGCGACGCACTATACACTGAAAATCAGAGAAAAATAGGAAAGAATGATTAGGATGAAGAAATATTGCACACGTCATATAATACTGTAATGATATCAGGTGGTGAGAAAATTGCAGTAAAATTCTCTTCAGAGCTAAATTGAATTCTCGGGCAGTCTAGCTCGGTATAGGCGTTTTACTGATCCCTGTCGATCTCAGCCGATGCCTCTTGTGGGGAGCTGTGAATTACTGTCACGTTCCTTTGCAACCCGGATATAGATGGGTCGTAATTGCGTACTTGGCGACGCGCGTGGCAGTGGAATTGAAAAAAAGTAGTACGCGCTACCAAAAAAGTTGTCGCTTGCATCTGAAGCCTAAAGAAGCTCAATCAATTAAGCTGAAGCCTGGCTAAGTCGAAGTATAGTCTGAAGGAGCAGAGGTTCTCGAAACCGCCGTCACGCTTCCGCAATCACGACCCCTTCCTCCCTTTTCACCGTTAGATACAGAGTGTCTCGACAAGTCTACAGATCTCACGTGTATTTCAACAGGAACTAATAAAAGAAACAACAAGAGTGCCAAGAGCCCCTCCCGAGCCGAACAACGTCAGATTTTCCTCTAAGACTGGCTCAATTAATGAAGTGACCCGGTGATTCCCCCCTGACCGTCCATCCCCTGCCAAAAACGGTCAGCCAGCGGGGCGTGCCCACATTCCTTTCCTTTGCGCCCTATCAAAGACGCGCAGTTCGTTTCGAGTTTGCTGACTGACAAAGGCGCGGACAAGGAGGAAAGGTTCACAGCCTAGCCTCATCTTCTACTCCCATCCCCGCGCCGACCATCAACTACCTGGGGGCTGCAACGATTGGAAATGGCACCACAGGTTCCAAAAACGACCTGTTAAAAATGAATTATATTGCTAACATTGCAACAAACCTCTTCACTCAGATTGAGACATCCCAGTGGATCATCTTCGAGACTATCAGTGCCCGCATTGAACAGTACCAAATCGCACTTGAACTCAGCAAGTGAAGCTGTCAGGTTCTTTTTGAGTAACCTAATAATAACAACTATGCATCGATGAAAATTTGATGAAACCAAGTTAGTACTGGTTTGCTATCTCTTCAACTTTTAAGGCTATATTAAGGGAAGTGGGCACGATCGTTGCTGGTAAGGCAGCGTTCAGACTTCGCGACGGCAGCGCTTCGGTCGCGCGTTCGACGCGATCGATGCAGTCGAAAGCATGCGCATCGATCGTCGAATCGCGCGACCGAAGCGCTGCCGTCGCGAAGTCTGAACGCTGCCTAAGCTGTTGTCGTCAACGTCGTTGGGAAGGCGATGAGGCCGAACCCGCAACCATTCTAGAAATGACGCTGGCGACACCCAGCCGCCTCCAGCAATCAAGCCCACTTCAATATAGATAATCGGAACCATGAGGGCAACCTTTCGTCCAGACAGCTGAATAGTTGCCTGGACGTGCACTCCAAATCCTTGATATGCAATAGGCGTGGCTGCGTACATTATTTGAACGTTTTGGTGGCTGCGCTTTTGATGGGGTATTTTCATATTGGGACACTTAGAACGACATTTTCACCCAACAAAAAGAAGGATACAGTTTTCTCATGCTGAAAAATTCCACGAATAGCCCAACCAAGGGCATGTTTCATCGAGGTGAGCAGCCACGCCTACCACTTCTCAGTGATGTTCGATGTACCCACTTGAGATACTCTCTATCAGAAGTCATCGATCCAACATGTACTGATCGCGAAATTCCTCCGAAGCCTTGTGATCCCATGGATATATCCCTTGGATTGTTACCCACACAAAACAAGTGTCAAGAATGAAACACGGCGTTTCATCCTGCAACCGAAGTCACGCTCAATGTCATATAAACTGATGCATAAACTGATGGAGCACGCAAATATGAAGACAGGTTTTTGTAAGTGCCAGCAATGTGTGGGCCTGAGGGGGCAACATAGACCGGGAGGGGGGGGGCAGCTTGTTCAGCGTTGATGTTAATGCTTCGATGAGCTTGGCTGATTACAAGAGTCAGAGAGTGCGCGAAAACGGGACGAAAGGGCGGAATGGTCATCGGAGATGACAGGGTACACAGCATCGCTTGGAGGGGTCGTACTTTTGCTCTGGGGAGGAGGGGTCGTATTTGGAAGACAAATTTATTTCGATAGTTGATTTTTTTCTTGTGGAAAAGGGGATCGTTAATTTCCCCCGCACCCGCCTGCGACACACTTTTCAACCCGACAATATACTCATGGCGCTCCGTCCCTCGGCGAGAAGCCCGTGAGGCGGAGGAGGGGGGGGGGGGTCGTACTCACACCGACATTTCGCACATCCCCATGCTGTACCCTGCGGGATGAAGCTCTACACTCAATATCAGCTGACTCTACCATGTCACAGATCCGCCACGCTTCCGCGAACTGCTGCCGACTGGTCTCACACCACAGTGCGTTGTCTAATTCGGAACCATGAGGACGAATTGGAGCTCATAAAACCGGTTTCATATTCCTGCAGTACCGCCTCGTACGGAAAATATCCCACCGGGGTGACGGAACCTCACTCCCATGGATTTGATTCCTGTTTAGTATTGCGGACGGAGTACTCCGAGGGTACGTTCGGTCTCTACAATGACTATACCAACTTCAATGAAGGCTCACGATTAGCCAACGTTCAATGAATTCTCAAGGCATCCTTTACTTATTCCAGAAGGCGGGGGTAGTGATAAATTGGTCCCGTAGGAAGGTGGCATGGATAGGAATCCATCGTCTGAGGCATATAAACAAGGCATGTTGACGGACGAAGCGGGGTGGGGAAAGGGCATTGTCTCCTGCCAACGCACCGAACGAATTGCAAATGCCTGGAATTTCCTGTGCATACCTCTTTTCAAAAGGGTTGACAGGACTTCTCACTCACTCCAAAGACGGACGAAATGGTAACAGTCTCATATTCTCCCTACTTTTTATGCTGCAGGCATCTAGTGCTTGAGGGTGCGACGAAACGACTGCGAGTTAGGAAATGAGGATTTTTACCTAGACCCGAGAAAGAAGGACCTTCGGGGATGGTCAACTAAATCCTTATAGGGGCTTTCGTGTTCCGTGAGAAGTAGCTCAGTACCAGAATCGCACCTCAAGTAGTCACAGTGATACTACGCGCCTCTGACCGGGGTTTCTTATTGTTAGAGAGACGTAGAAGACCCACCTGATGAGCGTCCAAGTCGACTATCATTGCCTTCTCTATGAGTTGTTGTGCAAACAGAATCTTTAAAGCAAGTGAAATATCAGCATATACACAAAATCCGCCTCCATTAGTACCTGAAATAGGAAGCTGGAAAAAAGGAACAAATAGAAACATTTAAAACTCGTCCTAGAATTCCAACAACTATGTTCGCAGTCGTTAAGAAGATTTGCTATTCTTTGCACCTTCACCTTCGTCAGCGTCGTGAGTTCCGTACGACTCCTTTGAAAGGTGCGTTTATGGTAGGCGCTGGCCGTCCAGGCGCGCTTCAGCGGATGGAAGATTCTGGACGCCCCTAGGGACGCAGAGGTGGCAACGATTCTAGTCGCATTTCAATCTACGTCATGCTTCTTCCTGACCGGTCGCTCCGCTCCGCTCTTCGTCGTGTCCCGTCAACATCACGTACATCGCTCTGGCTGCTGTCCATCTTCATCGTACACTGACTCTAAAAGTCGCACACCAACGTAGGGCCCCGTCGACGTCCCCGTACGCCCAATAGACGTGAAGCGTGCAAATCGCGAACCTATGTGGACAACCGAGGGGGATGGCTTACAATGCCGCCTAGTGGATGCGTTGGCGTCGCGACCCTTGAGAGCGCAGTGAGGGTTCGTCGCTGTAGCTAGAGCTTGTTCGGCGTTGCCTTTTTCATAGTTTTTTTGATGTTTCGTAGTTTATAGTTGCTAGCCAGCAATCAATCATTAACTTATTAAGTAGTTCTCAATTATGCAGTAATGTAGTTCATGAAGTGGTGATTGCCATAGTATCGGTTTTCATGAGTATCGACTTTCAAATCTTCATAACTTTTTCCAGCTTTTAATTTCATATCACACTTGTCGCGACAGCGAAGGTACTCGTAGGACTAAGCGGCCTTGATGCACGCGGCAATTTTAGGCTCGCCCTTTGGCACGCCCACTTGTTTGCAGAAATATGATATTTTTTCAAGATTTTTGCATTTTTGGGCTGCTCCATGAAGCCCCGCCCACTTTTCAAAAATAGTGTTTAAGTCGTGAGTATAGGCCATGGCTCGCAATGGCAAGCGTATTGCTGGTCTAGAGCCATGGCTTCGCATGGCAAGGGTATTGCTGGTCATTAGGAACAAACATTGCTTGATTTATTTGTTCCGAGTGACGGACGAGACCCTTGCCATGCAAGCCATGGCTCTATACTGCCGATTTGGCACCATTTTTGAAAAGTGGGCGGGGCTCTAGTAGGAGGGGCAGTCCGAAAATGCAAAAATTTGAAAAAAAATATCATAAATTCTCAACAGCAAGTGGGCGTGACGCAGAGGGAGAGCTAAATTGGGCCGGTGCATGAATGCGCGTCTACAGTACGCATTCGTTGTGCGAAGAGTGGATGTGAAATTAAAAACTGAAAAAGTTATGAAGATTTGAAGTTCGCAACAAACTTTAAAGAATGGGCGGAGTCAGTCATGTGTTGAAAATCTATGTCCGCGCTGACAAGTAGGCGTGACCGTCGGGGCAGGGTTCGCGGTGGTGTCTGGCGTGATTTGGTTGGTGAACTGCCTGGTCTAAGAAGAGTGGTGAATTTGGTTTGAAAAGTGGTGAATTTGGTTTGAAAAAAAGTGGTGAATTTGGTTTGAAAAGTGGTGAATTCAAAGTGAAAATGGTATATATTCCGGCTACATAGCCGATGTAACGTGCATGTTCTGCACCGTAGGCTCAAGCGCCTACGGTTTTGTCATCTTCTGGCGTTTGCTGGCGTAGCTTGCAGGTAACATCTGGTAGGTAGCCGTAGTGCGCACCGCGAAGGGGCAGTAAGGGCCCCTAGGTAGCGGATGTAGTGGCCAACGTGGCAACAGCGTAGGCGAGCATGGCAAGCGCTCGTAATGTTCCCACACAAGCACTCGCGTCGAGCGCAGCTGCTTCCAGTGCAGGTGAACTCCTGTGCTCAATTGGCATTGGCGGAGGCCTTTGCCACACCTTGCTGGTTGCAGAATTATGATATTTTTTCAAAATTTTTGCATTTTCGGACTGCTCCATGGAGCCCCGTCCACTGTTAGGCCTTTTATTTTGTTCGTTTGCGCACTTTAGCTTACTCTTTGTCAATGTAGGTGATAAAAAGATACAGAGCCTTTCTCCTTGTTCGGCAGATTTACCACCGGAGGAGGCCCATTAGTTCCCTAAAGACCAAGACGACCAATGTGGAGAACTTGAGTGTACAAAAAATGGAGGAGTCGAAATCTCGAGTATCGTCTGCTCTCTCGCGATTCAAACGCCTTGGTGAAGGCTTGGCAGCTCTGAAAAGCTTCAGAACTCACGATAAGCATGATGAAATCCTCCTCCGAGATGTACAGCCCATCCGCGATCAAGTGCTATTCGACAAGCAGCTACGGTACCGCCTACTTGGTACCTGAAGACAACATGTTGTCATGGGAAGTTGAAGATTACGAAGAAAACTTACTCAACGTTTAAGAAAATATTTATCAGTTATACAATGCGGCAGTAGACAAGCAAATGGTACTTCAACAACTTTGGCGAGTATACAAGGTGAGTACAAACTACCCAAGTAGCTGAATAAAGCTGTAGTTGGAAAAGTATAGATCAGCAAATTTAAAAAGTCTAGACAATTCTTTTTTTCTTTGGTATTCGCAGAAGAGTCTGGGGGGGTGAACTGCTACAGAAGGCATACCTATACGGCGAAGACGGAACATGCATTTTCATGCTCAAGACCGCTAAGTGCCGGTTGGGCAGCGGCGCGTCAGCGACGATTCCAAAGCACATGGCAGTTATCGCTTGATGAGCACCTCATTTTCCTCAATCCACGTCCCGCGCACTCGTCGTATGGGTGAGGCCACACCTTAGCGATCGCTCATGTGTACCGATGAAGTAAGAATTAAGGGCGCAGGCGAAGGTGGGCACCTGCTTCTCTTCTGAAGCATGGTAGCATGCCAGCTTATAAAATGGCCCTTTAGCTTATGTAAATACCTCGGGAAAAACGGAGATGGGTTGTACAAGGGGAACCATCAACAATCACATGTCTAGGAAAAGTTGACGTCAAGGTTATCAAAAATATCAGTCACGTACAATTTGCTGTGAGCAATGAGAAGATCGTTCCTAGTTGCCTCCTTTGGCCTCACGATCGTTTCATCCGATACAAGTTTCCATCCTGGAAATGAATCTGTCTATAAGGATTTTTGTAAGTCGCACATCGCAGTTTTTTTCGTTGTGAACTACATACTACTACTAAATACATACTAATTTAAACAGTAGCGCTCAAGATTACAGAAGAAAACAGGAGTGAGACGCGTGCGGCTGCGGCGCGGCTCGTCCGAAATGAGCTATGAGCCGCTGCTTGCGCAACTTAGCTGTGTTTTGAGATACATTACCGCTTCTTCCGAAAGTATGCAGCGCCAGACAAGCGTATCCAAAGAAGGAAGGAGGCTAAGGCACATCCTTAGCAGAGCTAAAACCACCAGAGTCGCTATGGCCTACTTTAGTACAGTAAAACTCGACGCGGTACACATCTCTGAACTATTTTTGCAGCCAAAACATAAACGTCTAATCGTTGGGAATATTGTTTGTTTTTGATGAAATATCCAATAGTATCCGTTCTTTAGAATAGTAGCTAGGTAAGAGCGGAGAGATACCCTGGTCGGCAGGACGTACCCACCGCCCCTATCGACCATCTTTCCCAGTTCTCCACCACCTTCCGAAAACTGCTTCACTTTTCTCCCGAAAACTACCATAAGCGGGGTGGGGGAGAAGCATACAACGCGCTTGAGATAGGAGAAACCGGGAAAAGTCATCAGCCAAAAACTTTTCTCTGAGGGCCTCCTGCCTTCGCGACCAAAATACGTCCTTCATTGAGGGTCTCAAAGCGCACGACTTGCTCTGTCCCCTTGCCGTCCTGGCTCTATCATCTGACTGAAAATGGAGCAAGCGTAAGGCTGCGTTTATACTTTGCGGCAGCGTAGCGTAGCGTAGCGCAGCGTAGCGTAGCGCTTCCAGCGTACGCCAGCGTACGCCAGCGGCAGTGCCGAAGAGAAGATGCATATCGATCTAGCTTCACCAGCGTCACCAGCGGCACGCTGGCGTACGCTAGCGTGCGCTAGCGGCACGCCAGCGTACGCCAGCGGCACGCTAGCGCACGCTGGCGTAGCGAGGGCACGGGAAGCATAGCTATCGATCTAGCTTCACCAGCGTTTCTCCAGCGTTTTCCCAGCGCTTCCAGCGGCGGGGCTAGAGAGGGGCTAGAGAGCACTTGACGGAGGAGAGTACAAAGTACTCTCCTCCGTTCAGTGCTCTCTAGCCCCTCTCTAGCCCCGTCGCTGCAAGCGCTAGCGGGGCTAGAGAGCACTGAACGGAGGAGAGTACTTTGTACTCTCCTCCGTCCAGTGCTCTCTAGCCCCTCTCTAGCCCCGCCGCTGGAAGCGCTGGGAAAACGCTGGAGAAACGCTGGTGAAGCTAGATCGATAGCTATGCTTCCCGTGCCCTCGCTACGCCAGCGTGCGCTGGCGTGCCGCTGGCGTACGCTGGCGTGCCGCTAGCGCACGCTAGCGTACGCCAGCGTGCCGCTGGTGACGCTGGTGAAGCTAGATCGATATGCATCCTCTCTTCGGCACTGCCGCTGCCGCTGGCGTACGCTGGAAGCGCTACGCTACGCTACTACGCTGCCGCAAAGTATAAACGCAGCCTAAGCTGGAACGGTCGTGGCGGGCGCAACGCATGGTCTTGTAAATGGGCATGTACCTGTCCCTAACCATATCTTTTCGGGCAGGTTGAAATGGTAAACCCGCTAGTTCTCTGCCCGCACTCGATTTCCTGCACAGAAGCATGGCAAGAATAGTGGGTTACAGGAATCACGTTAACCAAACGTTCTCCCGTTGCGAGGTTTCGAAAGGTATTTTCTTATCGCATGTATTGGTCGAGTATTTGAAAGGAGAAGGAAAAACGAAGAGGGAAAGAGAAGGAGGTGAGGAGAAAAGGAAGGAGGAAGAAAAAGGGAAGGAAGAGGGAGGCTTTGCGGTTGACAATTGACCTGAAACGAAGCTAGTGCGAAACTATTCCGACACTACAGTTGGTAGCGTCGCAAATCAGTCGGGGCGCTCTCATGGGAGATGGAATGAGCCCACTCACGGCCTTCCTACCACTGGCTGTCTCCTTCCTAAATCGATCACTAACCGATCACCATTGGTCCATCTAAGCAGCATAGGCGAGCTCACTCCGCCCCTCCATATAACTCTCCGACTGCTTGCGACCTTGTCAACCATAACTCGATGAGAAGGCGCAGGCAGACAGAAATAACGTCTCATGGAGGTGTAAGAGCTTGCCCTTCTCCCCCAGCTACCATTCTTCAGAAACGTTGGATTGGCAATATTATTCCTACCTTTCAATTTTGCATAAATTCGTCCCCATTTTCCCGCATCAAATGGATGACATTTCTCCATACCGAACATTTTCACATCGTAAATTTCATGAAAAACCAATGAGCATTGATCGTCAGTGATATTGACGAAAAGTTCGGTGCCAGCAGCTCTGTCACTTCCGCTGAAAATGTTGCGTGTGAATGGAGACAATCAACAGAACATGCTTAACTACTCGATAGTTAAGGTTTCTACATAAACTGGGTAACTGCAGAACGAAAAAGATGGACATACGGAGCTTGACGTCTCCCGGACGCAACATCACTCCTGACTGATGAGGATTTTGTAGACGATCGAGTGAAAGACATGCATCAATGCACACACACCGCTTCTCTCCTATTGAACAGCCTAAATTATTTGAAAATCACAAAATCAAACTCGAGGAAACGTTATCACCAGCTATATGGACCTCAAACAAGTGAAAGGTTGGCCGACATGCTTTCTGAGACCACCCGCTTCTCTTCGATCAATACCCATCGAAACCACACTGGGTTACACATCTACCTACGTCCTCTACAGTGCAATCATTAGAGTACGGTAATCACGCATCACGTGCGTTCACTCTCCAACTTTTATTTCAACCTCCGGCTAAATCGTAGATTACGACAAGGTTACCTGGGCAGTACCTTCTGCACAAGGATACACGGTAGGCAATATTATGACGATGGGAGGGGGCATTTGTACTATCATTGCTTCTCTATCTCGGTTCACAGTCTCTATTGTGGCAAGACTGTGAACTGCGTTGTGAGGTCGGAGCCGATATACGCATCAAGACGTAATGGCTGGTTTAATACGGTTGCACTTCCTCAGGGTCGGCAGTGGATTTGGGCTGTGCGAGTTAGGTCCAGGCTTTTGCACTGGCTAACTTTCGAGACATACGAGCTTACTTACGATTCTCACACAGCATAACAAGGCTGTTTGGCATTGACGATGGAGACCTCTTTTACTGAAAGAGATGGTTTGTGGTTTTCAAACTTTTCAGCCTCTGATTAGAGCAAATAATGAGTGGCGGCTAGAACAGAACTCCGAAGAGTTGCAGAAAGATTAGATTGAGGATATTTAGACGGTTGTAGGAAATGGGCACTATCGAGAGGATGCCATAGGTATTTTCTGTTACTGTATGCTGCCTACTATTACGAAAAAGGATGGAGGGCACTGTTCACTTTCGAATGAGGATGCGCCACATATTTTACTTCCATTCAGAATCTTAGAGGCATTTCAGTGTGATTAGTCATGTGCAGTGGAGACGGAGGTGGTGTAGCTGCAAGTGGCCGCTTATTACCCGCGCGTTCTGAGTCAAATCCGGGAGCGGCTCCCGCCCAGGCCAGCCAAGCCTTCCACTCCGGGCACGGTAAATTGGTACCAGATTCATCTGGGAGGATAAGAACACTGACTTGTACATCGGCTGGCCCCGCAAGTCATTGTATAGGCCACATCGCATTCAATAAGCCACTACGATTCTGAATGGAAGTAGAATGCGTGCCCCATCCCAAAAAGGGATTGATGAGCGCAATGATTTCCAGAATCACCTCAGCTAACACCCGAATCATTGTTAATTTTTCTGGTACCTTTTACAATCAACTAGTGCTCTTGTAGCAGCAAAATTCTTTGTCCATTTGACGGAAAAACCTCACAATCTCGAAATCCGGAAAACAAAGATACACACACTCACAGTATCCACTCACTCTATCAAAGTCGGGCACTAATTAACCAAGCCCGGTGGAAAGGAAGGTCTGGTCGGTCCGGACAGGAATCGGTCCGAAAGTCGACTCTCGCGGCGCCTGCGTGATAAGTAGCGCCACTTTCCGCAACTCCATTTTCGTTCATATTTTTCAGTAAAGGATAAAGGATAAAGTCTTCGCCGTTGATCAATCCCTTTGTGGGATGCGGCACGCATTCTACTTCCATTCAGAATCGTAGTGGCTTATTGAATGCGATGTGGCCTATACAATGACTTGCGGTGGCCAGCCGATGTACAAGTCAGTGTTTTATCCTCCCAGACGAATCTGGTACCAATTTACCGTCCCCGGAGGGTAGGCTTGGTTGGCCTGGGTGGGAGTCGACCCGGATTTGAACCCAGCGCCGCGCGAGTGGTAAGCGCG